TCCCCTCCCAGAGCCGGGGAGAGAACCCAGGAGTCCTGGCACCCAGCTCCCCCTGCTCTAATTCACCAGCCCCCACTCGCCTCCCGGAGCCAGGGAGAGAACCCAGGCGTCTGGGCGCCCCGCCCCCGCAGCGGTACCCACGTTGTTCTGGCGGGCGGCCGCCTGCAGCACGGCCGTCAGGAACCCAGTGGGGAAGGTGAAGCCGGAGAGCCAGAAGAGCACGGGGGGATGCGCCGTCTCGGCCCAGCGAGCAAACTGCTCCACCCGCTGGCCCAGGTCCCGGGTCCAGGCGGCCAGCGGCTTCAGCGAGGGGTAGGCCTGCGGGGGGCAGAGCACAGGGGCTGGGGGGCGGGGCGGGCACACGGCACAGCTCAGCATCGCTCGCCCCCCCAGCGCTTGGAGGCTTTCACACACAGGGAAACTGAGGCACAAATCACCACACGGCACAGCTCAGCATCGCTCGCGCCCCCAGCGCTTGGAGGCTTTCACACACAGGGAAACGGAGGCACAGATCACACAGGAGCCCCCAGTCCTAGCTCCACTCCCCCACCCTCTCCAGAGGGGCTCCTCAGACTGGGGGGTGGGGGTGATAAAGGGGGTGGTGCTTCTCCAAGCCCCGCCCACACCACCCGTGCAGCAGTTGAAGATTTGATCGGGGGGGGTCACTGGGCTCGGGGGGGCAGGAACCTTCCCAATCGACCCACCAGTGGCCCCAAAGCCAGACACCCCTGGGCCCCCCAGCCCGTGTGGGAGGGCAGGACTGGGGAGTCTCTGGGCCCCAAGGAAGGGTGGGGGGCACTCCCATGGGGCAGCGACTCCAGCTCTTCCCCCGGCGGCTGGGGGCGCCCTTACCCTCTCCCACATGGGGGGCACTCGGGCGTCGAAGATGCAGTTGAAGATCTCTTCCAAAGTGGTGGACATGACCACCAGCCCCTGGATGCCCCTCTCCAGCTCCACCAGCGAGGACCTAGGGGGAGGGCACAGGTCAGGCGGGGTCCCCCTTGGCCGGCCCCACACCCGGCCCCCAACGCTGCCCCCTGGGCCGAGGAGCTGCCAGAGTCGGGGCAGCGTCGGTCGGGGATCGGGAGGTTCCTTGCTCCCCACCGGGATCCCACGGGTTTGCTGTAGTCTGGGCACTGCCCAGAGCCCCAGACCAAGATTGGGGCCTCATCGTGCCAGGCGCTGCCCACACCCCCCCGACTGAGATTGGGGCCCGTCGTGCCAGGCGCTGCCCACACCCCCCAACTGAGATTGGGGCCCATCGTGCCAGGCGCTGCCCACACCCCCCCCCCGACCGAGATCAGGGCCCCATCCTGCCGCACTGCACAGCCCCACGGAAAGGCAGTCCCTGGGGTGGGGATAACAGCTAAGCTGGACCGGGGCCCGTCCGGCCATGCGAGCCAGGGTTGAGCCTCGTGCCCCCAGGCCCGGCGGTCGTGGCGCTGACCTGATGACCTGCAGCAGGGCGTTGTAGCGCTGGATCTCCTGCAGCAGCACCACGTTGAGGGGCGAAGGGTCGTCGGCCAGCACCTTCTGGGTGCCCCTGTAGTCCAGCTCCTGCGGGATCTTGCTCAGCACGTCGGCCGACAGCTCCAGGACCTGCCGGGCGAGGGGCGCGTGAGCCACGGGTGGGACCTGGGGGAGGTCCCTGCGGGATGCAGCCCCCCTGCCCCAGAACTGCGGGCAGGCGAGGACCGTGGGAGTGTCCCCGCAGGATTGAGCCCCCTCGTCCCAGAACCATGGGTGGCTCTCTGAGTCTGCAGGCAGCCTGGAGAGTCGGTGGCGGTGCCTGATTGGGAGCAAACCCCCAGGCCCAGTTTGCAGCACCCAGGACCCTCCCCTCTAGAGCGCAGGTGGCACCGGAGCCCGGGTCCCCCTGCCACCGGGTACCTTGTCCTCGCGGCTCTGCCCGGCGGCCCCGCTGGGCGTGATCTGGGGCTGCAGGGACAGTAGGGTCTCAAAGAGGGTCCTGGCCTCGGTGATCTGGGAGGCCACGTCGGCGTTGGGATGCTGGCCGAAGGCCTCGGGCAGGTCCATGCCGGGCAGCATGCTGATGAACTCCCGGTAGGAGGCCAGGTTCCCGTCCTTGGGGATGTAGTAGGTGTCGAGCACCGACAGCCTGAGGGCACGGGGAGAGTCAGGGCTTGCAATTGCTCGGCCCCCCCAGCCCCGCTCACCCAGCCCCACACTGCCCCCCCACTTGGGCTATTTCTGCCTGCACAGGGCGAGCCATCCTCACAGGAGACCCCCGAGGAGAGGAGCGGGCAGGGAAGCACCCACGAGGGGGGTACAGCTCAAAGAGCCACTGTTACTGCCCTCCGCCTCCTTTGAGCCCGGTCCCTTGGGTGCCTCTCTGCAGTGGTGCCCCACGACACCCCCCCTCCCCCGGCGATTTCAGCATCCCTGCTTTATACAGAGTGAAACGGTTTTATTTGGGGGTTGGATCCCATTGGGAGCTGGGGGTCTGGGTGCTGGAGACAGGAGCACTTGCTGAGCAGTTTTTGGTTAAAGTCTGCAGCGTTGGGGGGGGCGTGCTGTAGCAGGCAGGCGTGTCTGGCTCAACAAGGCAAGGTTCTGGAGTCCCAAGCTGGCAGGGAAAATGGGCTCAGAGGTAATCTCAGCATGTCAGGTGACAGTCCCAAGGGGACCTCTGTGACCAAACCCGTCATAAACAGGATCCAGAGGTAGACGGGAAGGACAAGGGGGATCCGGATCATGAAAAGCCCAGAACAACTCTCAGATGGGGACAGAACAAACGAAGGGGAAAGCCAGCGTCAACCGAAGCGACACTGACCCAGCCGTGTGAACGAGGCTTGGGGCAGACGGAAGCCGGTTGAGAAGGGACTGAGGGCGGATCGCCGGCGCAGCCCTATGCGCAGGGCGTGTGGGTGGGCCGAACGGGCACCAACACTACTCGCAGGAGGAGGGGTTGAGGTTGACGCTGAGCAGGCCCCGCCCCCGTACTTGTAGAAGGGCGCGGCCAGACTCTGCTCGCAGAAGTAGTCGTTGATGTAGGTGGTGAGCAGGCGCCGGTCCCAGCTGTCCGTCACATGGCCCCCGTAGTTGACGCCTGCGATCAGGTACTTGAGGGCGTCCCAGGGCGTCTCCTCATACTCGTCCAGGTACAGGCTCAGCAGGTTCTCTGACACCTGGGGGGCACAGACGGCATCACGCCAATGCCACAGGGCCTGCGGCGTCCGCTGGGATAGGCACCAGGGGCCGCTATTGCCAGGTTCAGCAGAGCGCCTCGCAGGGAGCCCTGGGGCCTTCTGGGGGCCCTGGGGCGTGAGCTGCCTGGCTCTCGTGGGGGGAGAGGGGTTGTTATTGTAGGTTCCCACAGAAATGTGTGGGCTGGTTTGTTACTGTAGGGTCTCATGAAGCCAGGCTTGTTATTGTAGGGTCTGATAGGGGAACACACAGGGGTTTGTTGTTGTAGGGTCTGTGGGTGGCGGTGGTGGGGGGTTGTTATCATTGGCTCTGGTGGCAGCGGGGGGTTGTTATCATAGGGTCTGATGGGGCAAACACCCGGGGGGGGGGGTTGTTGTAGGGTCTGACCGGGGAATACACGGGGGAGGGAGGGTTGTTGTTGTAAGGTCTGGGGGTGGGGGTGGCTTGTTATCGTTGGCTCTGGTGGTGGTGGTGGGTTGCTACCGTTGGCTCTGGGGGTGCCGGGAGGGTGGCTATCGTTGGCTCTGGTGGTGGTGGTGCCGGGGGGTAGTTACCGTTGGCTCTGGGGGTGCTGGGCGTTGTTACCGTTGGCTCTGGGGGTCCCGGGGGGTTGTTACTGTTGGCTCCGGTGATGGTGGTGCTGGGGGGTTGTTACTGTTGGCTTGGGGGGTGGGGGTGGTGCCGGGGGGGTTGTTACCGCTGGCTCTGGGGGTGCCGGGGGTTGTTACCGTTGGCTCTGGGGGTGATTATCGGCTCTGGCGGTGGTGGGGGGTTGTTCCTGTAGGGTCTGGCCACGGCCGTCACCCCCCCACCCTGGCGCCCCGCCCACCTCGAAGTCGGAGTCGTTGAAGCCATACACCACGTTCCAGCCGAGCTGCAGGAATTTCTTGCGCTCCAGCAGGACGCTGTGGAAGAAGCAGAGGGCGAACAGCAGCTTCTTGTACTTGGCCGGCTTGGTGCAGCGCCCAAACTGCGGCTCCGTCACCAGCTGGTACAGGCGCTTCATGTTGGCCTTGAGACCCTGCCAGGGAGAGGGAGAGGGGCTCAGCGCGGGCACCAGCCTGCCCCTGCCCGGCCGGGACGCGGGGCTCGGGCACGGCTGGCACAGGGCGGGGCGGGCGCCCCTCTCACCGTGGGGGGCTCCGTGGTCATCTTGATGCTGGCCTGCAGGATGGAGATGGGGAAGTCGGGGTGGGGGCTGGAGCTGAGCCAGAGGCGGAAGGCCGGGTGCGGCTCCTCTACCTGCAGCTGCTCCACCAGCTTGTCCAGCTGCGGCATCCAGGACAGCGAGAGGTGGCAATTGGCCAGGAACACCCAGTTCCCTGTCGGCGAGCACAGGGGAGAGACGAGTGGGCCTCCCGGATGCCAGGGTCCGCGCCGGCCGGGCCCAGCCCCTCCCCAATCCCACCCACGGATCCCACCCATGGGTCCCCCGGCCGACTGGACCCAGCCCCTCCCCGGATCCCACAGCCGGCCGGCCAGCTGGGCCCAGCCCCTCCCCGAACCCAACCACGGATCCCACCCATGGGTCCACCGGCCGGCCGGGCCCAGAGCCTCCCCGGATCCCACCCACAGGTCCCCCGGCTGGCAGGGCCCCGAGCCTCCCCGGATCCCATCCCTGTGACTCCTGGCCAGGCCCAGCCCCTTCCTGGATCCCACCCCCAGATCCCACCCAATTGGTCCCCGCCGACCAGGCCTAGCCCCTCCCCAGATCCCACCCACGGGTCCCCCGGCCCCCACCCCCAGCTGTACTGGAGTCCGTCAGGGTTGTTCTGGGTCAGGCACAGACCCTAGCGGGCTGATCTTTCTCTGGGCTCTGGCTTGGATCCACTGGCTGGGCCCCCATCCCTGTGCCCGCTGCATCTCAGCCCCAGCCCTGGGGGCACAGGATGCCGCATGGCATGAGGGGCCAGCGAACGAGACAGACCATCAGGGCCTGACAGAGCCTCGGGCAGGGGGTCCCCTGGTTCTTCAGCAACCCCTGGCATCGGGCCGGGGCCCCAGCGCGAGCTCTGCCGTGGGAGGCTCTGGGGGTGGCGGGGAGCGCGTGAGACGAGGGATTTGTGCGTGTGAGGCGGTGGGGAGTGTGTGGATCTGTGGGTCGGATGGCAGCAGAGGCTCCTGGGGCGCTGCCCACCCGTAACGCCAGAGTGAGGTGAGGATCCCCTGGCGCTGCTGGCAGTAGAGGGGCTATAACACACTCACCGTCCCGGACCCCCTCCTGGATCATGCGGGTGGCGATGGGGGCCTGGCCCTGCCCCAGCGACAGGGCATGGAAGCGCTGGGCCATGCCCGACTGCTCGGCCAGCTGCAGCAGCGAGGAGGTGGGGTCCACGCCGGGGGACAGCACGAAGATCAGGGGGGTCCGGGGCGTGGAGTCCTCCACCACCTGTGGCGGGGGGAGGGAAGCAGTACGCTCTGGGGGGCGGGGGCAGGGATCCTGGCTGCCCCGTGTGCTGGGGAGCTTGTCAGGGGGAGGGTGGCAGGGCAGGAGGCTGGTTTGGGGGGGCACAGAGGCCCATCTACCCCGGTATCCCACCTCCTCCCTGCCCCCCTGGATCAGCCCCACGGGCCCGTCTACCCCGGCGTCCCGCCTCCTTGGATCAGCCCCATGGGCCCATCTACCCCGGTATCCCACCTCCTCGGACCAGCCCCATGGGCCCATCTACCCCAGCGTCCCGCCTCCTCCCTGCCCCCCTGGATCAGCCCCATGGGCCCATCTACCCCGGTATCCCACTTCCTCGGATGAGCCCCATGGGCCCATCTACCCCGGTGTCCCGCCTCCTCCCTGCCCCCCGGATCAGCCCCAGGGGCCCGTCTACCCCGGCGTCCCACCTCCTCCCTGCCCCCCTGGATCAAGCCCACGGGCCCGTCTACCCTGGTATCCCACCTCCTCGGATCAGCCCCATGGGCCCATCTACCCTGCCGTCCTGCCTCCTCCCTGCCCCCCTGGATCAGCCCCTTGGGTCCATGCAGACTGGGGTCCTGCCTCCAGCTGTTGCCTGCACCGGATTATCTCTGAGGAACTGCCTGTTGTGCCATGCTGCGGGTGGGGGGGGGTCCTCTCAGGGGGCCCCCGGGATGATGGTTTCACTGCCCTGATGCCAGCACGTGTCTGAAAGGGGGCCCCGGGGTCCTGGGTAAAGGCATCCAGTGGCAGGGAGTTCCGCAGGTTCCCACGTCCGTCTGCCACCGGCCAATCCCTTCGCCCAGGGAGGGGGAGCCCCCCCGCCCACTCACCGACTTCATGTTGAGCACTGGCGGCTCGATGAACTGGGAGCCCAGGTTGGAGACGATGAAGAACGTGACGCAGAAGGCGACGCGGTCCGGCCGCAGGGACCGCACCACCAGCATCCGCTGCATCTGGTTGCAGGAGTTCTCCCACTCGCCTGCAGGGGGCAATATGGGGAGGGGAGGCCGACGGTGGGTTGCTGGTGGGGCAGCCCCGTGCTCAGCACACCGTTGGGGGGGCCCCCCCGAGGAGTCGGAGGGAGCCAGGAGGCAGTGGGGAGATAGCTGTGGCACCCCCCACCTCCCCCCACACACACTGCCGCTGCCTGGCATCATCGCTGGGCATGGGGCATCATGCAGCGCACCAGCAGCACCTCCTTTCCCTGTCGCTGTCCTGGACTTACCTGGCCAGAGCCAGGGAGAGAACCCAGGAGTCCTGGCTCCCAGCACCCCCTGCTCTAACCCACCAGTCCCCGCTCCCCTCCCAGCACCGGGGAGAGAACCCAGGAGTCCTGGGTCCCAGCCCCCCCTGCTCTAACCCACCAGCCCTCACTCCCCTCCCAGCGCCGGGGAGGGAACCCAGGCGTCCCGGCTCCCGTGCCCACGGCTGACCTGGCAGCAGGGCCTTCTCAGGCTTGGCGCTGGTGTACCAGAGGTGCCAGTCCCGCGGATACTGCTCGAAGGAGTTCATGATGCCGTGGAAGTTGGTGAGCTTGTCCAGCTCGGTGACGTTGTCCCAGTAGGTGTCGGTCAGCCAGCTGCTGCAGGGGTTGTCCATCTGCCCCTCCCGGTCCAGCACCTGCGGGGGGCAGCTGATCCGGGCACCGTGCGGAGCCAGCCCCCCTGCACCAGGAGGGTGCCGGGGGCCCCAGCAACATGTGCCAGCCCCCAGGGGGCAAATACAGCCAGGACGCCGGGGTTCCTGGGCTAGAACTCACTGTAAAATGGCACCTCCAGCAGCACAGCGCCCCCTAGTGCTGCCCTGGGGCCAGCCCCCTGACAGGGGAGAGCGCCCCCTGCTGAGCCCCCCGCCCGGCTCCCTGCCCCACAGCGCCCCCTAGCGCTGCCCTGGGGCCAGCCCTGCCTGCCAGGGGAGAGCGCCCCCTGCTGAGCCCCCCGCCCCACTGTGACAAACTGGGACTGTTCTTAATGTGGCCTTTGAATGCTGACAGGGGAGTGTGGCTAGGATGGTCTGCATTGGGGGATGGGAGACTGACCGAGGGAGAATACCTGAGCCTGTAACATGAGAACCCAGGAAGGGGTCGGAGGCCAGGTGACACCTTTGCCCGGGAAACTGAACAAAGTCTGAGGGAGGAGACGCTGGGGGGAGTTTTTCAGGAGCTGGCTGGTAAAGGAGGGAGCCCAGACGGGGCTCTGCCCCCCAATGGGGCTGTGGTGCCCCTGGGATCCCAAGATGGACCTAACTGAGGGGGTCCTGTTGTCTGTGCCTGCAAGACCTGTCTTGGACTGTGTTCCTGTCGTCTAAATAACCCTTCTGCTTTACTGGCTGGCTGAGAGTCATGGTGAATCGCAGGAAGCCGGGGGTGCAGGGCTTTGTGTCCCCCCACACTCCGTGACAACTGGTGGCAGAGGTGGGATCTACTGCAACCCGTGGACGGCGCTTCCTGCAGTAAGTGACTGGGGAGCAGTAAAACGAACGGGGATCGACGGGGACCAGGCATGCTGAAGAGTCAGAGAGAGACGGTTTCAGGGGGCGATTAACCCCTGGGAGTGTGTGACCAGAGAGAAGGACTTTTGCAGTAACAGGGTCCCCCGGGGGATCGCAGCGAGCGGGCCCGGGGCGGAGGAGTCTGCAGTTCGACCCAGGCAGAGAGGTGGTGACCTGAAGAAGGGCTGGCACACTAGGGGTCCCTCGGGAACGGTGGAAAGCGGAGAGCACAGGCCGGCAAGTGGCCAGCAGGAGGATGTATGCTAAACGCCTTAAGAGCGACCTGGTGGAGCTGTGCAGGCAGAGGGGGCTGCGCATTGGGAGGTCCACCAAAGAACAGCTCATTGCCCAGCTGGAGGAGAAGGGTCGCTTGGATGAACCGATCCTGTCCCTGAGGGAAGCCGCCCGGCGGATGCAGCGGGGGCCCCGGGGCCTGACGTGGCTGGGAGGGGTCAGACTGCTGCCGAGGACATCCCGAGATCCTGCCTACCTATACCTAGGGGAGGGGTTGGGGGAAGCCCAGCGAATATCGAGGGCACCCTGACCCCAGCGGCCAGCAGGGGATCGTCCCGGCGGAGCTCCCCGTCCCTGGAGCGGATGCGGCTGGAATATGAATGGGAGATGAGACGGGAAGAGCTCGAGTTAAGGAAGCAAGAACTGAAGGAGGAGCGGGAAGAACGGGAAAAGCAGCGGGAAGAGAAGGAAAAACAGCATCAGCATAGGCTGGCGTAGAAGGAGAAACAGCGTCAGCATGAGCTGGAGCTGGCCAGGCTGAGGAGCAGTGGGGCCCCAGCTGCGGTGAGTGAGGGGGGACCCAAGACTGCAAAGAGCTTTGATAAGTGCTTCCTGGCCCAGCGTAAGGAGGGGGAGGAAGGCCCGGGACAAGGGGAAAACGGCCTTAGAACCCTTGCCCATCATAGTGGAGCCTTCCCACAGGGTGGCCAGGGTAAAAAGTGGGGCTCTGAACCAAGAGAGCCCGAATCACAGACCTCCAGACTGGAATGCTGGGAGAAGACCCCAGCCCCGTTGGAACCCCAGGGGTATTGGGGTGGGAAAAGGGCACAGGCCGCATAAACCTTCCCACATGCGAACTATGAGTGCCATCGAGCACCCCCGACCTAAGGGGGGGCGTGAAACTGGAAGGGCCTGGTGTAATTCTCACCAAGGAATGGGAGGGATGCTGGGGCATCCATGGGAACGGGGGTAGGTTCGAACTTCCTGAGGTCACTGGTTGAAGTGACCCCGCTCAGTTCGGTCTCGAAGCGGGGAGAGATGTGACGAACTGGGACTGTTCTTAATGTGGCCTTTGAATGCTGACAGGGGAGTGTGGCTAGGATGGTCTGCACTGGGGGATGGGAGACTGGCCGAGGGAAGATACCTGAGCATGTAACATGAGAACCCAGGAAGGGGTCGGAGGCCAGGTGACACCTTTGCATGGGAAACTGAACAAAGTCTGGGGGAGGAGATGCTGGGGGGAGTTTTTCAGGAGCTGGCTGGTAATGGAGGGAGCCCAGACGGGGCTCTGCCCCCCAATGGGGCTGTGGTGCCCTTGGGACCCCAAGATGGACCTAACTGGCGGGGATCCTGTTGTCTGTGCCTGCAAGACCTGTCTTGGACTGTGTTCCTGTCGTCTAAATAAACCTTCTGCTTTACTGGCTGGCTGAGAGTGCAGGGCTTTGTGTCCCCCCACACTCCGTGACACCCGCTCCCTGCCCCACAACGCCCCCTATTGCTGCCCTGGGGCCAGCCCCCTGCCAGCGGAGAGCGCCCCCTGCTGAGCCCCCCACTGCCTGCCCCACAGCGCCCCCTAGCGCCGCCCTGGGGCCAGCTCTGCCTGCCAGGGGAGAGCGCCCCCTGCTGAGCCCCCTGCCCCGTTCCCTGCCCCACAACGCCCCCTAGTGCTGCCCTGGGGCCAGCCCCCTGCCAGGGTAGAGCAGCCCTTGCTGCCCCCGCCCCGCTCCCTGCCCCACAGCGCCCCCTAGCGCCACCCTGGGGCATTGAGGTCAGCCCGCCCCACGCTGGTGGCAGCTGTGCTGGGGTTGCTCTAACAGCTGCATTTCAAGGGAGGCTCCGTAGGGAGCAGAGGCGGCTCCAGCCCCGTTCCCCAGCAGGGAGGAGAGGAGGGCACCCCCTGCTGGGGAGCAGCTCGCTGCTGCACTCACCACGCCCCCCCGCAGGAAGAAGTTGTACTCGTCCATCTTGAGGTTGCCCGAGGTCTCCAGGATCTTGGCGCACATCTGGAAGCTGAAGAGCAGCTTGTGGCGCTCAAAGAGGCCGCGGCAGGTGAACCTGCGGGGAGAGCAGGGGGTGCTGGCCACGGGGCAGGACGGTCTCCCCTCGGCACCCGCCGCGGGCCGGGCTGGGGGCCGGTCTCCCGTCCCCCGCACCTCTGGCTGCAGCTCCCCATGCCCGGGGACCTGTACGCAGTGTAGGAAGGGAGATCTCCGCACCTGTACCCAGTGTCCCCATACCCATACCTGGCATGGGGGGGGCTCCCCGTACCCGGCGTGGGGGGATCCCCGTACCCATACCCGGCATGGGGGGCTCCCCGTACCCAGCGTAGGGTATCCGTACCCGGTGTGGGAGGTCCCCTGACCCCGGCGCGGGGCCCCGTACCTGTACACGGCGTAAGGGACGGGCCCCGTACCCGGCGTGGGAGGTCCCCGTCCCTGGCGCGGGGCCCCATACCTGTACACGGCGTAAGGGGCAGTCCCCGTACCCGGCGCGGGAGGTCCCCGACCCCGGCGCGGGCCCCATACCTGTACACAGCGTAGGGGGCGGTTCCCATCCCCGGCGCGGGGTCCCGTACCTGTACACGGCGTAGGGGGCGGTCCCCGTACCCGGCGTGGGAGATCCCCGTCCCTGGCACGGGGCCCCGTACCTTTACACGGCGTAGGGGGCGGTTCCCATCCCCGGCGCAGGGTCCCGTACCTGTACACGGCGTAGGTGTGGTACTCGTTCAGGTAGCGGATCCGCTCCTCCAGTTTGGTGCTGCGGTGGCTCTTGTGGATGCTCATGTTGAACAGGTCAATGTAGGCATCCAGGGAGAACTGGTACATGGGGTCGATGCGGCCCATGTCATTGAGCACGAAGAAGAGGATGGAGGCTCTCTGGGCGCAGGGCCTGTAGGCCTGGGGGGGGAGGGCGGGAGCACGGCGCCTGTCAGCCCTGGGCAGGACTCCCAGAGGGCGCCCACACCGCACCCACACGCCCTCCCGGGGCTCGGCACGTCTCCATTGGCACGGGCCAGCAGCGGGCGTCTAACTGCAATGCGGACGGCCCCTCCTGCCGAGCCATCTGGGCCCGGATCAGGGCCCCCACTCCCTGGGCATGGCTGGCATTGCCAGGGAGCCAGGCTGAAGCCCGTGGGGCAGACGGGCGGGGGACGCCGGACGAAGCCCCGGCCCCCCTCACCTCGCGGGCGGTGTCGATCTTGATCTCCGTGGTCTCGCTGGTCTCCAGCTGCTCCGTCACCTCGCTGGCCGTCACCTTGGAGGTCTGCAGGGTGTTCACCAGCTGCACGTCGTCCAGCAGCGAGCCGGTGGCTTCGTTCAGCAGCCTGCGGGGACGGGCGGCGGCCAAGGGTCAGCAGGCTCCCGCCGCCCCCCAATCCTGCCCTGTGCCCCCTAAGATACACCGCCCTTCTGTTCACCGGGGAATGGGACACGGGGCCGAATCTCCGCGCTGGGCGAGGGGTCCCTGGGTAACCAGCCGCCCCGCCCCAGAGGTGGCCGCATCTCAGCACCGGGCGAGGGGTCCCTGCGTCACCAGCCGCCCCGCCCCAGAGGTGGCCGCATCTCAGCGCCGGGCGAGGGGTCCCTGGGTAACCAGTCGCCCCGCCCCAGAGGTGGC